ATTGTCCAGTTGGAAAGAAACCAGTAGGATGCCAATGGATGTATACTGTGAAATTTAATGCAGATGACACAATTGAGAGATTCAAAGCTAGATTAGTGGCAAAGGGGTACACACAAGCATATGGAATAGATTACACTGAAACGTTTGCTCTCGTAGCCAAAATTAGTACAGTTCGAGTATTGTTATCTCTAGCTGTAAACCTTGATTGGTCCTTACATCAATTTGACGTAAAAAATACCTTCTTACACGGGAAATTGTCTGAAGAAGTTTATATGGAGCTACCAGAAGGATGTGGGATCCCGAATACACATAACAAGAAGGTATGCAAGTTGAAGAAGTCATTGTATGGACTAAAATAATCGCCACGAGCATGGTTTGGCAGATTCACCAAGTCAATGCTTGCTTTTGGATACCAACAGAGCAACCAAGATCATACCTTATTTCTAAAGAAAAATGAAGAAAAAATTACAATTCTTATTGTCTATGTTGATGACATGATAGTTACGGAAAACGATCTAGAGGAACGCAAGACATTGAAAGAGTACTTGGCAAATGAATTCGAGATGAAAGATCTTGATCCTTTGAAATATTTTCTTGGAATTGAGGTCTCAAGATCAAAGTCAGGTATTTTTCTCTCACAACGAAAGTATGCATTGGATTTACTAAAAGAAATTGGAATGACAGCATGCAAACCAACAAATTCTCCAATTGAAGAGGGATTGAAGCTGTGCATTGAAGAAGATCAAACTCCAACTAACAAGGGAAGATATCAGAGACTTGTAGGGAGATTGATGTATCTCTCACACACTAGGCCAGATTTAGCTTATGCTCTTAGTGTGGTTAGCCAGTTCATGCACAATCCAGGTGAAAAACACATGGATGCTGTTATACGGATTTTAAGGTATATAAAAGCTGCTCCTGGAAAAGAAGTTATGTTCAAGAAGAATTCCAACTACAAGGATGTGATGATTTATACTGATGCAGATTGGGCAGGTGCTCTTGATGATAGAAGATCAACCTCTGGATACTTTACATTTGTAAGAGGTAATCTTGTCACATGGAAAAGTAAGAAGCAGAAAGTTGTAGCTAGATCCAGTGCAGAAGCTGAACTTAGAGGAATGGTTCTTGGACTTTGTGAAGGTTTGTGGCTCAGACTACTTCTCCAGGATTTAGGGTATGCACATACACGTCCCATTTAGTTGTATTGTGATAATAAAGTTGTGTGCGACATTGCTCACAACCCTGTCCAACATTATCGAATGAAGCATGTGGAGGTTGATAGATTTTTCATCAAGGAAAAGCTTGATAAAAATATTTTGGAATTGCCAAATACTCGATCTGAAGATCAGTTGACAGACATTCTTATCAAAGCTGTGACAAATCAGATTTTTAGGAGATTATTGGACAAGTTGAGAATGTATGACATCCATTTATCAACTTGAGGGGGAGTGTTGAGATAAAGATATTTGATTAGCTAAATTATAGGTTTGTATAGCGGTACAAAATATTGTATAATCAGAACTTCCTATATTTAGTCCTGATTTGTTAGAGTAAAATACTATAAGATCATAGTATATGTGTACAAAAATAATATGAATAAAAATTATAGAATGATTTCTATGTTTTTTAATTACAATAACTTAAATTGTGATTTTAATATTAATCTTATACGTGAACTCTCCCTAATTTAGAGAACAACGCATACTCATATTTTAATCAATCAAATATGAAGACCAGAAACCGAAATAATTTGTGATTGAATCACAGAATTAAAGCATTACTCTCAACTCCATCTTTTAACAAACTTTTAAAGGGGCTTAACTTGATGACTAGTGCATGGTCTGGGTCAAATCAGGACAAAGAGGAAAATTTTCTTCTTCTAGACTTTACTAAACAAGCATATTATAAATTGTTATCCTTAATTTTGTTTAGAGCCACTACTACAAAATATACTTTCTACGTCGTTATTTAACGTCGGTTATAGCTGAGACGACGTAGAAAGTACTTTTCACGTCGGTTCTTAGTCAACCGACGTAGAAAGTACTTTCTACGTCGGTTCCCATATGAACCGACGTTGAAAGTCTTTTTTTTATTTTTATTTTTTACTTATTGATAGCGGTTATAAGGGAACCGCTATCTAATATACACTTTAGATAGCGGTTATAAGGGAACCGCTATCTAATATACACTTTAAATAGCGGTTATAAGGGAACCGCTATCTAATATACACTTTAGATAACGGTTATAAGGGAACCACTATTATATCCTCTCAATTATGATCGATCATTTCAAGTTATGATCGATCAGAATCTTATTTCGCTCGAGCGAGAGTAGTGTCGCTCAAGCGAAATACAACCCAAGAATGCTAATTTTGTGCAGGGGGCGTTTCGCTCGAGCGAGAAGGGTGTCGCTCAAGCGAGATACATTTTAGATAGCGGTTACACAGGAACCGCTCTTAAAAGCTCACTTAGATAGCGGTTAACCTGGAACCGCTATTATATTGTTTCAATTATGATCGATCGAATGCGATTATGACCGATCGAACTATTTTAATCGATTAAATCTTGTTTCAATCGATTAAAACAATTTCACACAGACATTTTAATCGATTAAAACTTATTTTTATCAGTTAAAATTACTTGAAAAGTTTTACGAGAAAGTTTTGCAAGTATTTCAATCGATTGAATCGCGAAACAATCGATTAAATCAACTTAGAAGATTTTTTGTAAAGTGTTTTAATTGATATAAACGTTGTCGTACGTATCAGTTAAAACAAATCGTTAAAGAATCAAGAACGTATTAATGGATTAAAAGAAGTTTTAACAGATTAAAACCGCACTTTTAACGATTAAAAGAATCTTTTAACAGATTAATTAAACCAACAGTTTTGAAAATCTTCTATAAAAATAGTTTGGCTTGAACTTTTTAACATACATTGAATATATCATCTTTTACACATTCTTGAGCAATCAATCAATCGCTAATTGCGACCGAATTAAAGTGGGGGTTGGCTCGAGGTTAGAGTTCGACGTCACTAGGGTATGCGTTAGGGTTCGAGCTCCGCTGGGTTTGCATTGGGTTTCACGACATGACAATTGGGTTTGGCTTGACATTGGGGTTCGATGTCGCCGGAGTTGGGGTTCGGCCTCGAGTTCGTCGAGGTTGAGGCTAGGGTTGAGATTCGAAGTTGCTTGGGTTTTGATTGGGTGTTTTGGTCACTCGATTTGAGATTCAAGGTCACCTGGGTTGGATTTCAAGCTTGAGGTCGAGTCATGCATGCTTGGGTTAAAGATCTTCGAAGCTGAATAGAAGGGTGGAGGATTGGGGTTGGAGAGACGAAGATGATTAAGCTCGAACAATGGTGGATAGTCATCATTACTATTTCGAGTTACTAAATTAAAAAATAATAATTTGGTTATTGATTCGATCACTAATATAGTAACTAACTTTTTCGATCATCGATTTCGGTTACTATTTGACATTTTTCTAGTAGTGATATTTACACGGATATATATTTATTTGTATATAAATATAATTTATTTGTAAGTTATTATAAAAAAATTCAAGTAATTTAGTGGTTGGAGTATCGACCTCCAACTCTAAAGTACTTGGGTTCGAATCCTGCCAATGACAATTCTCTTAAAAATTAAAAAACTTCTAAAAAATATAATATAAAGAGATGGAGGACCTAATAAAAATATAATATGAAGAGAGAGGAGACTTCTAGATAAATAAAAGGGGATAAAAAGGTTGTAAATAAATAAAAATTATTAATTTAAAAAATCATACTTTCAACGTCGGTTCTAATAGAACCGAGCGTTGAAAGTCGACTTTTAACGTCGGTTTGAAAGCTTTATTTGTAGTAGTGGAGCTTACAAATCTATAAAGAAAAAAATTTAGAAAATATATGTCAAGTTGTATCACATGGATGTTGTTAGCAATGTTTTTTCTAAATGATCTTGCAGAGAAGAATTTTTAGTAAAACAAGACACTCTTGTACATTTAGGCTAAAGAAAGGTATCACTAGCAATTGTATGATAGTTATTTTAGATTTATTATGTGAATTATAGTATGAACATAGATTTATAAGCTATTAAAAAAAATACAACTTACAGTCCAATATATTATATAAAACTTGAAAGGAGATAATTTTTTTTAGAGTAGTCATGACATTCCCAACCTCCACCTCTTGTTTTGAAAAAGACAAAGAAGGTAATAGACTAGTTATAAAAACCATGATTAGTAACCTAATATCTTTAATAATATTTCTATCTATGTTTTATTTTAATTAATCCCAAAGAGACACGTCTTAAAGTTGCTATACGGATTTTTTTTACTAAGAAAAATTATTTTTGTAATGGAAAATTAACAGAAAATCATTAAAAGAAGGTAGTCAACAGACCTGAATTTTAGAGAATTATTTTAGAAAGATAAAATTGAAAGTTGACCAAATTTTAAATAAATAAATAACTCAATATAGCCAAATTGATTTTGTTTTCCATAAGGAAAGTGAGGTTTTAACTTTATTATACTCCATAAAAAAGAAGAAAATTACATTTTGAATAAAATTACTTAAAAATTAAATTATTCCTGGAACTCCTGTTTGATAGGTCAAGAACCAGTGCTGAAGTAGGACATGAGGTGCACGTGTTTCTCTTCCTTTCTTATCCTCTTTCTCGATCGTCTATGCCTTACTTTTCAAAAAAACAAAACTATAAAAAAGAAAAAAAAATCAAAATAAAGCACTATCCATTTCCACGTTCCAAGCTAAGATCAGGGCTTCCATTAAATGAATATACTGCGGGTTTATCGTAGCTTTTACCCTGTGAGTTCACTTTGTATATCTCCGCCACAAAATTAGTTTTTTTTTTTTTCTTTTCTATTTCAAGTATTAATTCCCTTATCATTGTTAAAGCTTCAGGAGCCAGTGGATTTCCACTTTCTACTTCCTTTTCTTTACTCTGATTTTGTTCTGTTTTGCCTTTTCGTTGTGTTTTCTGATGGATCATGCTTTTTATGAATTTGGGTCGAATTCAATTCATCGTCTTGAATTTTCTGTAGAACTTTATGCATTGGGCATTGATGCGCAGTTTGATTGTGGCTTTTAGTATTTTCTTTATCATTTTTTGTCTGGTTGATAACATCTTTCTAGATTTTTGTATTTTATTATTTTTTTCTATTTGGATTCTGTGATTCTGACGTTGATCTCTTGTTGATTGCCGATTTGTGGTTCACTGTTGCCTGAAGTTTTAGTCAAAGCTGAATGTGGCCACACAAGGAAAAGTTTCACCTTTTGCCACTGGAATATATATTTTTTTTCTTGTGTTTATTTGCATTTAAAACTCCTGAACCAACTTGTTACCGATCCAGAGAGATTCTGTAAAGGTCATTAGTATAACCTCCATCAAGTTTGGAACATGATGATAGAACGGAATCTGTAATGTCTGGAGAGGCTTCATATGGCCTTAAAGAAAATAGTAATTTGAATGTTTAGTATAAATTGTCTTAATTGTTTTAGAAAAATTCCAGGTTCTTATGATGGGTGAATCAGACGTGACAAAATTCGGCTTAAATGTCAGGAAGAATGAGAAAAATGGGTTCCCAAGGCGACTGAATCGTGGAATATCTAAGTTTTTTGTGCAGCTCCAAAGTTTTGTTAAGGTCAATATCTTATCCTGTGGCTTAAAAATATATTAGGGACCTGGTATAATAATATTTTGTTTTTCTGACTACAGTTACGGCTGAGCAGATTAGCTAAACAGGATGGAATGAATTTGGTGAGATCTGCCCAAAGAAATGAGAACAAGTCTTTCAGTTACTCTGAAGCTGAACTTAATGAGCAGCTACAAGCATGGAGAGAAAATCCAACTTGGGTCGATAGGCCACCATTAATAAAGGTGAGGAGCAACTAATTGGGAAAGTTGCATTTCCTTTCGAAAGTGCTGGTTTCTTAGTAAAACAAATGATAAATGGACTTTAGTTGCTTCAGACCGTATGTAGACTACCTTACCTTAGAGATGTATTTATAACCTGTTGATCTAAAATTTGTTGAGATACTTCTTAAATTTTAGTATTAAGTATCTGGGAAGATTTTTTATTCATTTATTTTCGGATTTTAAAATACTTTGTAGTTAACTTCTGTACACCTTCAAGATGGATGCTTTGTTAGTTGATGAAATCTAGTAAAGTATGGCAGATCAACTGCTCGACCAAACAATTGCGTTACACATTTAGGCCTGCTGGATCCTAGTGGATGTAAAAAGCTAGTCTGTCAAACTTAAACAATCTAGTCTTTCAAACTTTTAGTAATTAAGGAAATATCTACATCTGTCCTGGTGTATATGTAATGTGATATTCCTTTTGGCAGGTCACTGCTCCTAAAGGTTCTCTTTGCAACCTCAATGCAGAAGTTGATGTTGGGCTGCCCCCTGATGCAGTATATAATATAGTGACAGATCCTGATAATAGAAGAGTTTTCAAAAATATCAAAGTAAGTGACTCTATCATCCGTAATTCTGCTCAGTGTGTTTGGTTGCAACCTTTATCAAAGTAATGCTTCAAAAAAACATTGAAGATTAACATTGATGCAACTTTCCATTTCATCGTCAGCCTAGATTTTTTTATTGAGTTTCTAGCTTGTATAATTTGTCTGCTCCAGTATTTTAGCAGTGTCCCAACTTTCTGCAGTTCAACTTGGTTATGTCTTTCTTTTTCAGGAAGTGATATCCAGAAAAGTTTTGGTTGATGAGGGTCATAGGCAAGTGGTAGACCTCGACCAAGCAGCCATTTGGAAATTTCTTTGGTGGTCCGGGACTATTTCGATTAATGTTTTGGTAGATCAAAACAGGGAAGACCACTCTGTAAGGATCTATCCCACTTTTAATTTAAATAATTGATGGATTCCGTATTTATTGCTCAATATATTCAAGGCACACAAACTCACCATAGTTATAAAGTTCTCCATTCCAAGGCTGCTTTCTTAAATGCATATTTTATATATTTATTTTGAGTTGGTCTTTTGGTTGAATCAGTTCAAATTTGATTGAAGACACTCGGGTTCCGAAAATGTTCCACACCAATAGCATTTTGGCCTATTGCTCCTCTCTATTTTAGATGCAAGCAATTAAATTTTATTCGCAAATATTGTTCAAGTTCAACTATCTAAAATTGGAGAAAATGTATCTGGAATTTTATTATATATCCTTGGTAGACATAAAGATTGGCAAGGATTGTCATTAGAGAGTAATATGTGATTGAACTCTGACAAGCTTCTGCTTTTAATCATACGAAGGGTGTGTGTCTCACTGCTAAATAATTTTGTGTCAGATGAAGTTCAAGCAAACCAAGACTGGATTCATGAAAAACTTTGAGGGTTGCTGGAGGGTAGAGCCTTTATTTGTTGATGAAGCAATCTGCCATCCCTTTAAGCCTATGACAAAGGAAGACTATAATGCATGTACAAGAGGCAAAGGAAGAATTGGATCTAAAGTTAGCCTGGAACAAATACTCCAGCCAGCAATTGTCCCTCCTCCTCCCATTTCATGGTATTTGAGAGGAATTACTGCCCGGACAACTGAGATGCTTATAAATGATATGCTTGCAGAGACTGCTAGAATCAGAGGAGGATATGAGGCTGAAAAGTCCAAGACAGAGGAGCTGCATGGAAAATCTGGTGAAAAGGTGGACCTGGTTGCTAACTCAAATGATATTAAAGAAAGATGGATTTTGCGTAGAAAAAATGCGAAGCAGAGTCATAGAAAACAGCTGACTGCTAAGTAATTTTCCTATGTTTCATTTTTTAAGCAATATATCTAGATTGTTACATGTAGTTCAGTTTAAAGGATTCTAGTGTAGCATTTTATCACACAATGTCAAATTCACTAATTTCAGTACAGTGCATGACATTTCAGTCGGATGAGTTTATGTATCCGACAGCATAGCAAAATATCAACATTGTTGTTCTTTTCATTTGTTTTCTTGTTTTTTCGTGATCTTAGATTGCTCAATTCATTTGAATAAAAAGTTGCCAAGGGACGACTGAATAGTTATGATATTAGAGACCTGATTTTAGATTCCAGAGCACCAAAAATAAAATTTTCATTTGTCACCACTCAGTGGACTACTAAATGCTTAGAGTCAAAATTATACAAAACAACAAGAAACACAAAAAATGTATCTCACTGAATAAGTAACATGGCTACGTCTTACGTATTCATACAAATGATTATCTGTTATACAACACGATTCATTGTTTTGAAACTGTAAAAATAACTCAAGTTGTCATTTTAGTTTCCCTTTTTCTTTAATTCTAGGCCAATAATCACTAGGTATAATTCTTACTTCCGACCATTATACAGAATCAAACTACAGAAGTTACAACTACAAGTCGTGAAAGCAACGAAGAATTGCTTAATCTAAGCTGCATATACACTGCACTCTATACTTTCATCTCCATTAAACTCTCCGTCTGGTAGACTATGCAATATTTTATCCACGGCAAAGGATAACTTTCTGGGACTTCTTTGCGCCACTTGATTGGCCAATAATTCCTTGAGACCATGTTTATCAGAACTCATGAAGGAACCTACAGCACCTAAAAACCCTTCATGCCGCAAAAACATGGCCTGAGCCTCTCCTTTAGACCTGAAAAAATTAAATAACAGATTAAATGATATTTTGTTTAAATTGTATCAGAAGCAAGTGTGCTCAGAAGTCTAATGAAACCTTCCTGAATTATGGCAGCCACGGCGAGCATTAAAATGAACGAATTTAACGTCCCAACCCAAAATAACTATCATGCACTTGCAAACCCACACTTCCACTCACCTCCCTGCCACCCAAAAGGAATCAGCACATGTAATATGCAAAGTCAAGCATCCGTTGTGGCATTTGCAGAAAATTGATCCAACGCAAATAAACAAATGCTTGTTGATGGAACAAACAACATAGAAAATGCTTATGTTTCTACATTCCCTTTGATCATTCTGAATATAATGTTTGAGACTAGTACTTCTTTGGTACTACAGCCTCAAAACTAGAATGGTTGTTAAGAGATGGACTTCAGACTGAGACAGCAGCAATATCATGAGTTTTGTTAGAAGTGAACATGTCCTGCATTGATGGATTAGAGGAAAATCAAAGGATATAATAACCCTCACACTCGTGGACATGGCCCGCACATGAATTCTGAAAGTAAGAACTAGTCCATAACCCTCAACATAGACGATGGTTAGTTGGCAGTATGGTGGAGGATCGTGTTCTTACTTACCAGAAATTAACAGCAACAGATAATGTGTCCATAGTAAAAGGATGCTTCCGAATAAAAAATCCACCAAAAAAAATCCTCTTCAGCCCAAAGCGAAGGGCATTTAAGTAAGATATCTGAAAGCAAACAACAGAAGAAACAAATGATCCTAAGTACATTTCACTATTTACGATTAGATAAACACTATCATGATCTTACGTTTAAGATTGGGAGCAATGAAAGCAAAGGCATAACTAATACATAGAGATGTGCATCTGTTAAATGTTACGTCTATAAATAACTTATAAAATGAATATTCCACTATAACCACATTTGTATTGAAAATTTGCATTATGCAGATATTACAGTAGTTCGTTGAATGCATAGAGATTATGTTACGGTTGTTCTAGGAAGGAAGGACCTCGAAGAATAACCAAGAAGAGTAGGGAGTCCAAGAAATAGAATGGACACCAAATAAATGGGTCTTATTGATTGGAATTTACAGAGAGAATTGTCTTACAAAGAATTGAATGAATGTACTAATGCTGAAACTCCTGTATATATATAGCAGTTCAGTTACAATTTAACAATTAATGGCTCAAGACTTGCCACCTGTCCAACCTACGTGTCTGATCATGCATCAATCCTTCCTCCTTAAGCTAATCCTTGTCTTCAAGGATTAAAGTTAGGAAACTTCTTCAAATCAAAGAAGAATTCCCAAGTTGCATCCTCTGGCAGTAGATGCTTCTATTTGACAAGTACCTTAGTAACAGCCTTGCTTCCTCTCTTGACTGTCATCCTTTCTATGATTGCCTCTGGCTCCTTGATTCTTATTTCTTCATCATTCCTTGGGTAGTGAGTTGATGTATTAGCTTCTCCTACAAACTTTTTCAACTGTGATACATGAAACACATCGTGTATGAGTGATTCAACTGGTAATTGGATCTTGTAGGCGACTTATCCAATCTTGTCGATTATAGCATAAGGTCCATAGTATTTTGGAGCTAATTTGGCACTACTCCTAAATGCTACAGAGACTTGTCTATAAGGGTGTAATTTTACAAACACCAAATCTCCAATTTCAAAGGTCCTATCTGATCTACTCTTGTCAGCCAGTTGCTTCATTCTTTCTTGTGCCCTTTTCATGTGAAACTTGACCAACTTAAGTTGTTCCTCCCTCTTCTGCAAACTTCTATCAACAAGTTCAATCCTGGATTCTCTTGGTAAATAGGGTAAGTAAGCTGGGGGTTGCTTGTCCATACATGATTTCATAGGGACTAGCCTTAATAGTGCTATGATATGTTGAGTTATACCACCACTTAGCTAAGGGAAGCCATTCGGACCATTGTTTAGGATCATCTGAGCACATACATCTTAGATATGTCTCAATACACCTGTTCATTACCTCCGTCTACTCATCTGTCTGATGATGGTAAGTCATGAAGTCCTTCCAGAATTGACTGACAAAAATCGGATCCGTGTCACTTGTTATTTAAGTTGGGCAACATGTAGCTTAAAGACATTATCCATAAAACACTGTGCCACATCAGAAGCAGTATATGGGTGTTGTAATGCTATGAAATGAGCAACCTTGCTCAGCCTGTCAACAACAACAAAGATCACCTGTTTTCCAAAGGAATTGGGAAGACCTTCTATGAAGTCCATGGTAATGTGCTACTAAATCATATCAGGGATTGGAAGTGGTTATAGCAACCCAAGAGAGGCAGAATTATCATACTTACATTGCTGGCAGGTAGTCCATTGATGGACAAATCTTTTAATATCCTTAGACAATCCTTTCCAATATACCACTGTCTTGACTCTTTGATAAGTGGCATCTCTCCCTGAATGACCACCACAGGATGAAGAGTGCAACCAATCAAGTATTTTCCTTCTCAATTCAAGATTTTTACCAATGACCAGCTTCCCTTTCCTCCTTAATTCTCCACTTGACCAAGATAAATCCTTATGTGAAGAAGGATCTTTCGTAATCTCAGCAATCAATTTTTGTAAGGCATCATCTCCTTGCCAAGATGCTTTGATTCTCTCTAGTAGATCAGAATTTGGTTGGTGAGTAGAAATAGTAGCACATTCAACCCTTGAAAGTGCATCCACAACTTGGTTCTCACTTCCCTGCTTATATTCAATAATGAAATCAAATTCCATAAGTTTTACCAACCATTTTTGTTGGAAAGTTGTGGAAAGTCTCTGGTCAAGAATATACTTGAGACTTCTATAATCAGTTTTGATTACAAACTGCTTAGATAATAAGTAATGCCTCCACTTTTGTACAACAAACACCACAGCTAGTAACTCCTTCTCATAGGTTGACAAGGATTGTTATTGAACATTCAAGCTTTTGCTTATAAAAGCTATGGGATGGTGATCTTGCATGAGAACAGCGCCTACCCCTACTCCTGAGGCATCAACCTCCACTATAAAAGTCTTTGTAAAATCAGGTAAGGCCAATACAGGTGCCTGGTTTAACTGATCCTTAAGACACTGGAATGTAAGCTTGGCTTCATCAGACCAAGAAAAACTATCCTTTTTCAACATGTCATTTAGTGGTTTGGCTATGGTGCTATATCTCTGCACAAACCTTCTATAATAGCTTGCTAAACCCAAAAAAACATCTCAACTGTTTGAGGGTCTGAGGAAGTGACCAATTCCTTACTGCTTCCACCTTAGCAGGATCAGTAGAGACTCCCTCTCCAGTGATAAAATGACCTAAGTATTCTACTCAAGTAACCCCAAAGTAGCACTTAGATTTTTTGGCCAAGAAGGCATTTGCTCTCATGGTAGACAAGACTTTTTGTAAATGATGTAAGTGACCCTCCATGTCCTTACTGTAAATCAAAATGTCATCAAAAAAGACCAACACGAACCTCCTCAAATATTCTCGAAACACCAAATTCATTAAGCCCTGAAATGTGGCAGGGGCATTGGTTAAGCCAAAAGGCATAACCAAGTACTCATAATGCCCTAAATGAGTTTTGAAAGTTGTTTTACGTACATCTACCTCTGCCATTCTGACTTGATTATAGCCAGACCTCAAGTCAATTTTGGAAAATACAGTAGAGTCATGTAGCTCATCCAATAGATCATGAACCAAGGGTATAGGGAACCTATTTTTTACTATACTCTTGTTGAGGTCCCTGTAATCAATGCAAAGCCTCCAGGTTCCATTCTTTTTACCGACCAACACTACCGAACTGCTGAAAGGACTACTGCTATTCTAAATAACACCACTCTTTAAGTAATCTTGTACCAAGTCATCTATTATGTCCTTCTGTTGTTTAGAATACTTGTAGGTTCTCTTATTCATAGGGTTAGTTCCTTGTACCAAGGGAATAGTGTGATCATGATCTGGCCTTCTAGGTGGTAGAGTAGTGGGTACTGCAAACACATCTTCATATTGAAGTAGCAACTTATCAATATTGTCAGGATTGAGGAAGATGTAACATGAGTGGACAGGGAATGGAGCAACAATCCTTCTTTCGACTCACATACTTGTAACATAGAAATGTGAACTCCTGCAACCAATGTCTTATGTGCTGCTTCCTAATTGTCTTAATATTTGTAGAAGAATTGCCTCTCAAGACATGTCTTCTTCCTTGAGCAATGAACTCCATGGTTAACTTGTCAAAGTTCCATGTGATATCCCCCAATGTAATCAGTCATTCTATACCAAGAACCATATCGCAGCAACCTAAGGATAATAGCAAGATATCTGAACTGAACGTAGTGTTCTGTATAAGCCAAGAGAACCCTTTCACCATAACATTAATCTGCACTCTAGCCCTATCAGCCACAGTTACGCTAACAGGATCTATATCTTCAATTTTGCACCCTAGCTTCTTGGCTACATTAACATCTAAGAAATTGTGGGTGCTCCCACTATCAATGAGAACGTGCAGGGGCTTCTTTCGTACCTGACCAAACACTCTCATGGTCCGAAACTTGGCTATTTCAGTTAGGGCATTTACTGAAATCAAGGGTTCCAGATTGGTTTCATCAGGAGGGTTTTCAGTAGGTCCTGGGTCATCGTCAGAGTCAGAATTCTCAGCTATTTCCATGACATGGATTTGAAGTTTCTTATGGGTTTGGCTATGGGTAGGGGTAAAGGGTTCATCACAAAAATAATAGAGACCTTTAGCCCTTCTTTCACTCATATAGGCAGGGTTCAGCTATTTAGTGGTTTGTGTTTTAGGTTTTGTAGGTTCTAAGGTTTTGGAAGGGTTTGATAATAATGATGGCTTTGCTACAGGGTTAGGTTTGAGGGTTTTAGAGAATGGTTTGGCTTGCATGCTAGTGGCATTGGCATTTTCATCCATCTTAGCTAGGGAAAAGGCTTTCATAACAGAGGTTGGTTGGAACATTCTAACCATCATTTGAATCTCCATTTGCAAACCACCAAGAAGACAACTCAATTGATGGGCCTCAGGCAAGTCAATTCTTGAAACAATTGCATCAAAGTCAGTATGATAATTAGTGACAGTGCCTTTCTATCGAAGTCTCATTAGTTTAGCCATTGGATCCTCGCAAACTTCACCAAATCTTTTAATCAAGATTTGCGTATAGTCGTTCCACGAAGGCAATTTATCGAGTCCTACATTCTTCACATACGCACTATGCCATTGAAGAGTTTTGCCTTCAAAATGGACCACAACCAATCGCACCTTATATTCTTCAGGGGTTTGATCAACCGAAAAGAAAGTTTCACACTGGATGATCTAGTTCTTGACGTTGTCGCCATCGAATCGGGGAAAATCCAAATGTACGAGCCTAGTGTGACATGAATAAGGTCAAGAAGAAGCACCAGAACCTAATGAGCAAGAATTTTCATAGCGTTGAAACATATCCTCGATCATGTGCTTCAATGAAGCTCCAATTTCCATAAAATGTTCTTCCATTAGCGTATTGAGACGTTCTTCAATTTAACGAATATGCGTTTGAGTTCTGGTATTATCAGCCATGGTGGAATCGTATCTTGGAAGGTCACCTCTTGATACCAATTGTTACGGTTGTTCTAAGAAGGAAGGACCTCGAAGAATAACCAAGAAGAGTAGGGAGTCCAAGAAATAGAATGGACACCAAACAATGGGTCTTATTAATTGGAATTTACAGAGAAAATTGTCTTACAAAGAATTGAATGAATGTACTAATGCTGAAACTACTGTTTATATATAGTAGTTCAGTTACAATTTAACAACTAATGACTCAAGACTTGCCACCTGGCCAGCCTACGTGTCTAATCCTGCATCAGATTTTAGCCAAACTGTGTTACAATACAAGAAGTGATACCTATTTATACCACTAATATAGGTCAAGTGCACATGCCTGGACGAAAAAGACTCCTAATTCTAATATCTAACCAACCTCTCCTTTTGTATAAATCCATGAAAAATATGTTCTTCTGTATAATATCTAACAAGCATTTACGGTTTAGATGACATGACAATTATTTTACATATGCATGAGGGATTTCTTCCAATCTAAGTTTTCACATATTTACCCTAACGATTGATGCTTTACAATGGGTTTTATCCAACCATTGAAAATACATATCGACGTAGATCTTGCACCTTATGGAAAGGAAAAGAATGAGAATTAAATGAAATAGTTTACATTTTCTAATATTTGTTAAGTATATATCATGTTAATCTAGTAAAATATCAATGAAGTATAAACAAAATTAAGATTAATAGGATCACAACAATTTCTATAATTTTGTGTGTATCAACTAATTGATTTTTTAATTATTCGTCCTTATTAAAATAGGTCATGCATTATCACTTCAAAGCTAAGAGATGCCTCCTGTATATGTCAATAAAATGCAAGTGCCATTTTGGCTTCAGATACAAATCTCTTGTGATTATATCAACTTCATTATAAAGTTAATGAAAGATTCCATTATTAGGTAAATCAAGAGTGGGAAACAATGGAATGTGTAAAATTATTCAGTTGTCAAGGAAGTCCATATTTAAGCCTTCACAAGGTAAAACGGTACTAGAAGTGTGGAGATTCCATGAAGTACATGAATGTTACATAAGAACATGGGTGGAAGATTTGGAGGAATAATTTCCAGTTTTTTACATCAGAGATAAGTCTTTAAGCAGAACTGTATTATTTCGCTTCTAGTTAAATCCAGAAGACTTTAAGCACTCCATTTAAAGCACCAGCATCAAAAATGGGAAAGAAAAAAATAAAGAATATAAAGAGCAGCAATGTCTAAACAAAGAGAAATAACACCAGCGTAAGCATAAGATATCCCCCACTAACAAACTACTATATAGATAGAAAGAGGCAGAGAGAACACAGAAAGTCGTTGCAGAAAATGAAGACAAATTGCAGGATGGGAGTTTTGCCACGAAGTTTTACTCCACTGGATGCATTATACACAAAGAAATATAAATATCATGTAGCATTACTTTAGTTGATATTATCATGTACACAGTAGAATTCATCTAACCATAAAATTAATAATACACAACTGACCTGTCCAATATTATTTGAGATCATTCTTAGAAGGGATCGAGCAATATCTTCAGGTTTGTAATCTTCACGCTCCTTATTATCAGAAATTGCCTTTCCAAAACTAGATGCGATTGCAGTGGATGAAAGACCTATCTGTTATCAATCAAAGAAAAAATATATTCCAGCAAATAATCACTAGAATAACTAGATAACATTATTCTCCATTTGAAACAATCACTTTTATAGTCGTCAAACGCTAACTGAAGAATGTTTGTATTTTAATTTTAAACAGGAAAGGGGACATAAACTTTCACCAGTCATACCTTTGCATAGTCCATTCCACCATAAATATCTCCTACAAGCATATCTACCGCTCTGTTGTTCCCCCGATAACTTAATTCCAGAAGCTCATCAAAACTGAATCGTGAAGCACATTAATGGTAATCCTATCTGTCTAAATAGAAATCAATAGTGCATATGCCCCAGGAAATAAAAAATACCCACCTCTTGCACTTGGTTAAAAGCTTGCCTAAACCCCAGAAAGTGCCTCCACCTATACTTGTTCCACTAACTCGCTCAAATTTCCCCTCTCCTTCCACCTATATGAAAATATTAAAATATTATTTGAATGTAAAAAAAAAAAAAAAATTAAGTAATGCAACTTGTATGATAACTACCTTAATCATACCAACACCAGACCCAATATTAACAAGAAGATAGGGATATAGATCATTCTTGTCAATCTGCACAAATTGCTTTTGATCACCCATATAGGTAAATGCTTCCTGGTGGACCACCTATTGAAATTTGATGAAGACATAGATGAGATCTTAGGTTTATGAAGACTCAACAATTATTTTACAGCAAACTGAAGGAGCAGTGTATGAGCAAAGGCCCTCCACAAATCAAAAGGATATACTAAAATATAATTTGGGTACAACAGTCCTCAGCTGAAGATTTTGGCTTCATTTTTTTGCAGGGGAATAGTCACTCAAAGCAAACAGTTATTCTACCCCAATTTTTATTACAATAAAAAATTTTAAAATCCTGTAAAAACTAGTTCTATCAATAACAAATAATCCGATTGTTTCTATACTAATAGCTCCAAATTTACATAACAATCGCATATGTGCTTTGGATTGTAAACTCATAGCCAACTAAAAATGGTATTATCAATCTCAATAACCAGACTTCTTTGATCTGATATTATCTTCTGGCTCAATTGAAAAAATAAGAACAAGGCGTCTTTCAAACAACAGCCATTTACCTAGTTAACTTCATACTTGCCAATGAAAATAGCTAAATATAAACACTTAATATTTAGCCAATGACAATGACAAGAACTAAAATATGAACACTTTATACTAAGTCCTTAAACTAATTCTAAAAATTTATGAATTTACTCAAACCATAAGCATTGATACCTCTAGCACTGGTTAAATATTTCTTGAAAATAGATATTTTGTAAATTCATGAAAAGGAAAACTACTAATAGGCATTCATTGAATGCCAAGGTATAAATTTGCTTTTGGTAAATTGAAAGAATCTTAGTGCTTATTAATGGAAGAAATGTCTTCTGACACAAATATTTAAATTCAGATTGAATATAAGAAAGCCTTGATTTTTAATCATCATGCAGGTGACATCTTCATCAATTGTCTGAAATAAATACTTCATCAAAACAAACATAAAATATCTTCCAACACATTTTTCTCAAACTAACAGCAAAAAATTATTTTAAAGACAGCATTACCGTTTACGTTAACCTAATTGTGTATAACAAGCATCTTGTGAGCATAAATACACGTAAATAAGATCAGGGCTAAAACTTATAACAGCTTATGTCCCTAACCATTATGTATGTACCGTCAAAGCTTTCACAGTCACATACATATGGTAATCTTCACACAGAGACTATTTGTTGAATGAATGGAGGAAAAATGAATCTGAATCTCAATAATTTTAATTGAAATTTTAAAATGAGGCAACTTTCTTTGTACCAACAATATGGAAAAGCTAGTATTAAATCCTACCTCGAGAAGAAAATTTGCTCCTGCAACAAGACAATCCATTTCATCTTCCTTGTCAAGAATGATTCCTAGTCTTTCCTTGAAGAGGTCTGCATATTTGTATGCACCACCACCTGTGGCCTTCTCGCCAGTAGTTTTCATTATTAATAAGTACATAACATAATTCCATGTACCTTAAGACTAAGTAAACATTGTTTTGTATGGAATGGAATATTTTTCATTACAAATATCTATTAAAGCTGGAACGTAAGCATGTGTTACCTTTTGGAAATACTAATATTCTTTCAATTTTAAATCAGCTTCTAGGAATTACATATCTTCCAACCATGGCGAAACAGAAGACAAGGAATAGAAACTGTTTCAAATCATGGCATAGCCAATATTGAATTGGTTACTAACTTAGAATCTAAAGATTTTTACAAAACATCTATCCGTACACTCAAGACAGAAATAGAAAGAAAATATTCATACTATGACATGCTTAAACATTTTATTTTGATTACCTTAACTATTGGCTGACTTCCAGGATTTTCTTGTGGCTGCCTACCTGAATGCATTATCAGATGCAAAAATTACAGAATGACCACAAAAACGGAATGGACACCACGATGAATATAAGATGAGTATAGAGGTCTCTAGGGATTATATTAGTAGAATAATATATATTTTTAAAGGATATCCATTAGTTTGAAATTTGGAGTACTTTGGCTTTGGATTCTACGTAGTTTATTTTCCCACTAACAAGCGAATACGATCCAGCTCAACTTTCAAGGTCAAATGATAACAAATAAAAAGAACAACAACAGTCTCACTAACAAATACTTGAGACTTCTATGACCATTTATATGTAGAATAAGTGCAAAAAAATTCAAATAGAGGAATGAACAAAAGAATTTAGAAAAAAGAAAAATGAGATTCTATTCAGCCAGCTTGGGAAATTAAACACATATGGGATCCGTATCAAGGTGGTTAAAGGAGCCAAAGTGGTTCTGTATGCAAGTTTATCAAGTGCCCGAAAGAAACAAAAATTGCTAACCATAAACACGGTTGCTTGCCTCAAAAATTCAGTTACTCTGACAAACACTATCAACCATAAACACGACATCATTATGTACACACCTCCAATATGAAGTTTCATGGACTTGATAAAGTCTAAGCAATCATTTATCTTGCTTGTTTCAAACTTCTTAAAATTGAGCCTCCCATTAAGAACAGGATATTGCTTACTGCCGTTGGATTTCTCCAAAGCCTTTCTATGAGATAACCCCTCCTCAACATCAACCAAACGATCGTCATCTTTTGTGAAGTATACTATCTTGGCAAGAGATCCTGTCAACATGGACAATATTATTTAATGTTAGGCAAGTTTCAGCTGGACCTTGACTATTGATTTTAGGGGGTAAATAATAAATAAATGTAAAAGGGTGAATGAAGATGAAAGAGTGAGAAGATAAAATTGTAAATATATAATTAAATATATTAAATGATCATTAAGTTTGGGAGGTCAAAATCATAAATTATATAAGAGTTACAAAATTGAAAGGAGGCTAAAAGGATAAAATTGTAAATATATTAAATCATCGTTAAGTTTGAAGGGCCTAAAATCATAAATTATGTAGTAGTTACAAAAGTTTGGGAGATCACGGTCCCCTCAATTCCCAAGAAAGTTCATCACTGGTTCCAGCTAATGTCGAAGTAGAACCTTTCTTCACAATTCACAAAAACTGGCAGAAGTCTGACAGTATTAGTGATAGTTGGACAGGAAGGTAATAAACATGATTTCATATTTTCTAAAAGATGCAATATGTTATCAAGAGTCAACGTCTCTGCATTCTTAATATGCCTGTTAGTTCCAGAAAAATTATGCCAATATCAAAAGCAGATTAGCAGTGTATGGTGCTAAAATGCAGATTAGCAGTCCCCCAATTAAGAAAATTTCCAAAAGCTCTTGCAGAGAGAACAAGATCTCCAGAATCCTGACATGATTTGAAGTCACGCAATTGAATAAAGAAGACCTCCAAATATTTCTCAACAGTAAACAAAATTCACAGACTACCCCATTCTCAACAAGCAAGTTATATCAATCGAAGTGATAGCAAGTGTACAACACCATGTTATGAAGCATCATTCTCAGTCACTCCCACTGTTCAAATTACGAATTCATGCCCAAACACAATTCAGGCGTCAGCAACTTCAAATATATGCTATTGAATTTGAACAGCAAGCTAAGCAAAGCTCAAACTACTCGAAACACAGGTTTTCAAGAAACAAACATAGACATTTAAACAACAAACCATCAACAATGCCCAAAAATCACTTTCAGCAACCCAAAACCAGAAACACCCGATCAAGGTTGTTTTACCAAAACGTGTACATCCCACAAAATTTCCCAAAGCAAAGATGTTAAATTTAAATGAAAATCAGTAAACGGGCAACTCTGAAGGCAATAAAAAAGTTACAAGTGAAAAGCTGAAACCTACCTCCAATATCCAAAGCTAGATGATACACATGAGTTGGTTGGTTAGGATCCAAAATTGGTTGAGTTTGACCATCTCTGAGATCCATTTTTTTTTGTTACTTCCGTCTCCAATGTCCTAAGTTGTACTTACAAATAAATAAATGGTAAAGTAGAGTTATATATGTGACTGGCCGAACCCCTTCATCTTTAACCATCTAGGATAAGCAAACTACACATTCATTTCTCGATTTGACAAAAAAAATAAAAAACAAAATGATTAATTAATAAAATAATGATCTGTATCCTCCTTCCTGAACCAAAATAAAATTTAAATTTGATTTTGTAGAGACGGAAATGGAAAGATGATGGATGGGTAGGGAGTAGATAAATGTGATAGGGTACGCTGCTTTCAAGGATGAAGGTTGGTCACTCACAAAAAACAACCACTCCAAATCGCGTTGTTTTTGCTCCCACGTTAACGTCGCAATTAAATGAATTCAACACGCTCACAATTCCAACCAAGTTTCACAGTAAGTACTTTTAAATATTATAAATAAAATATGCAATAAATCAAAAATTTTAATATAAAAAATATTTTTTAAATTTATGATACTATTTTCTAATTATTAATATTCTTTAAAAAAATAAATTTACACTAAATTTGTTAAAAATCGAAAGAGATAATAATTAAATTAAATTATTCGATTGAGAACTCATCTCATCCACATACAATTGTGGTGTACACCATTTTTTCCTTTCGTGACTTAAATTAATTTAATTAATATTTTTTATTATTATTTTAGTCAAATGCTAATTTGTCTATTTTGAAAAATAAAATAAATTTAGCCGACAAAACCATTATACATCACACTACACGTGATAAACATGATATATTTTATAAACCCTAACAAAATGATATTTTATTATTAATTGGTTAAATTTTAAACGTAAAATATCACTAGATTCTGACTCATATATTTGGATCTTTTATGCCAAATCATAGTTTTAAAACTCAGATTGAAGTTATCATTTTAACTCACTTTTTTTAAAAAGCAAAGTATTTAAATGAATTATTTATCGTAAAATTTATTAATGAATATTATCGAAGATCGTTAACATTCTAAAAACATAAACAGAAATGTTATTACACATACACTTCATTTATGTTAATATCATTATCTTAAAATGTTAAATTGGTAAAAAAAAAGTATAGTAAAAGTTTAAATATAGTTTATTAAAATATAATCATTTTGATGATCTCTTAGACGAATCCATCATCTCAATAGCTTCACAAATGAACAACTTTCAAAAACATGGCCGCAAATGAAAAAAAAAAAAAGGAAAAACATTTATTGACAATTTTTAGGTAGATAGTGGATACCTACTTAAGATTTTTTTTTTCTTTAAAATATTCTTTAGTTGTTTAGGTTTAAAAAAAATACAAAACTTGAACAATAATAAAATATTTATACTTTTAAGTTTTTAAAAAGTATATAATTGTAAAATATAAAAAACATATTTCTTTTACCCTTTCAATAATATTTGTTATAAAATTATTACGATTTTTTTATTATTATAACTTTTTCATCATCATCAATATTATTGTTTTGGTCTAAAACAAATTTTAAAATAGTACTATCAAATAAGTTTTTTTTTTAACTTTTTAAAAATTGATCTCTAAAATTATACGTGACAAAGCATTTTTCAAATAGTTTATAATTTATTTTATTGATTTATAAATATGACTGATTAATTAAAATTTTGATATTTAAGCTTATTTTAACAAATTATAATATTTTTCAATACAATTTTTATGCATATAACAACAGAATTCTGATTCTTAATTAACAAAACTCAAATCATTATTATCCAAAACTATATTTTGGTATTAAAAATTATATAAATATGACTTATATTATGTCACATTTATAATTTATTTTAATGACTAGTTTTGGTAATCATTTTTATTTCAACAAACTAGTTTAATTACATTCATTTTTAGACAATAATTTAACTAAAAAAATAACCTTTCAACAATTATATTGTCTTTTCAACTTTTTAATTAACTTAAAAAAAATTATTTAATAAAAAGAAAACTTAAATGCAACACTTTTCATTATTTTATGTTATACTCAGATTAAAATTTGTGATAATAATACAAAATAACATTAAATAGTCACTATGTAACATGAATATACCTTTTAATAATAAATAAAAAAATCTTGTAGAAATCACATGTTATTGAAAGAGCAATTGTATAAATTTTTTTTACCAACCTTCTAACCTATTAAATAAAAATACATTCAATATATTTTTAGGTTTTAGAAATTAATTGTGTTTACTTTTCATTAATTTTTTTATAAAATATTTGATGAAATAATAAGAGCATACAAAAAAAAAAAAAGGAAAAACATTTATTGACAATTTTTAGGTAGATAGTCACTAGTGGAAAAATAGCATTCTATGACGAGTTTTTATCACGGTCGTAGTCCACCCGTTATAGTATGTAGCGCGGTGGCAATTTTGTAATAAAATCATAAACTTTCTATGTCGGGTAAATTTTAACCGACATAGTAAGTGGAAAGTTCACTTTCTATGTCGGTTAAATATTACCCGACATAGAAATTTTACTTTCTACATCGGGTAAGATTTACCCGACATAGAAAGTTAACTTTCTATGTCGGGTAACATTTAACCGACATAGAAAGTGTCTTTGATGACGGGTGTTTGGGCAACCGATATAGTATCTTCTGTTTTACCCTGCTCCAACGCTCCATTTCATTTCATCACTTCACCCATAGCAGAGCTCCCCATTCGCCTGTGTACGTTTCTCCCTACGCTCCATTTCATTTCATCAGTTCACCCATAGTAGAGCTCCCCGTTCGCCTGTGTACGTTTCTCCGCACCCACATTTGCTCGTCACGCCACCTGCCAACGCTCGTACGTCGTGCCGCCTGCCGATACGTTTCTCGCACTTCGGCTCCGCACGTCACGCCACCTGCCACCTCTGTAGGTCTTCAAGAGGTAAGTTTTCGTGCTTGCTTTAGCCATTGTAGGTTTACAGTATTGAATCTGGTAAGTAATAATGCTGTCAAGAGAGGGAAACATCACGGGTGCCTTTAGCTAATTTAGAAATGAATTGTAAGTAGTTTAGTCATTTGGATGTGTTTCTGTAGGCATTCTTTCGTGATTTTGATTATGAAAATTAGATTTGTATTATAATGTAGTTATTTTGAGAGTGGAGTTGGATTTCGTGTAGGCATTATAATGTAGTTATTTCGTGTTTCTGTAGCTAATTTGATTTTGAAAATTATATTTGTAACAATGGATCGGAGTTGGATCAATTATAGACGAACAACAAATGAATATGAGAGTGGAGTAGAACAATTCCTTGAATTTGCTAAGATGAATGTTTCGGATAATGATGGAAGATTCTATTGCCCTTGTGTTAACTGCTTGAATGAGCGAAGATTACTGACTGAAGTTATTCAGGAACATGTTCTTTGTGATGGTTTCCTAAAGAGTTACATAAAGTGGACATGGCATGGTGAATTATTAAACATGCCAAGTGTAGAAGACAAAGAAGAAGTTGATCTAGAGATGGATGATCAGCTGGAGGAAATGATTCGTGAGCTTGGACAAGATGCCTTCCAACATACACATGTGTACGAGAAGTTGTCCAATGATGCAAAAGAGCCTTTGTATACAAATTGTACTAAGTTCACACGATTGTCGGCGGTACTAAAATTGTTCAATGTGAAGGCAAAGAATGGGTGGACTGATAAAAGTTTCACGAAATTGCTTGAGTTGTTGAGTGACATGCTCCCTGAAGGTAACACATTGCCAACCCGCAATTATGATGCTAAGAAGATATTGTGTCCAATGGGTATGGAGTACCAAAAAATTCATGCATGTCCGAATGATTGTGTGTTGTACAGGAAAGAATTTGAGAAGCTGTCACGAATGTCCACAATGCGGGGAATCACGATACAAGAAGAAGGATGGTGATTACGACAATGATGTAATGAAGGGTACCCTGGCAAAAGTGTTATGGTATCTTCCTATTGTTCCAAGGTTGAAACGATTATTCACTAATGGAAATGATGCAAAGCTCACTAGATGACATGCGGATAGTCGTATTAAAGATGGTCGAGTTGAGGCATCCGTGAGATGGATTGCAATGGAAAAAAATTGATTCCATCTTCCGGAATTTTGGTAATGATCCAAGAAACATTAGGTTTGGACTTGCTACGAGATGGAATGAATCCATATGGAAATTTAAGCGATAAACATAGTTCATGGCCTGTGGTGTTAGTTATTTACAACTTACATCCGTGGTTGTGTATGAAACGTAAGTACTTGATGCTATCTTTGATGATCTCGGGTCCCAGACAACCTGGAAATGATATTGATGTTTTTTTAAGCCCATTGGTTGAAGAGTTGAAGATGTTGTGGGAGGAAGGTGTTGATGTGTTTGATGGGTACACAGGTGACTTATTCAAGTTGCGTGCAATGTTATTTTGTACAATTAATGACTTTCCAGCATATGGTAATTTGAGTGGCTATAACACAAAGGGACATAAAGCTTGCCCGATATGTGAAGAAGACACATGTCACTATCAACTACAACATGGAAGGAAAACGAGTGTACCTTGGACACCGAAGATTTCTTCCTTCAAACCATTCATATCGTAAATTAAAAAAATCATTTAACGGGTGTCAAGAAAATGATGCAGCCTCAACACCTTTAAGTGGGGAAGAAGTATATCAACGAGTAAGTGCGATTTCATGTGAGTTTGGAAAGACGCAAAAGAAAGCCACAGGTATATGGAAGAAAATGTCAATCCTTTTTGTTCTTCCATATTGGAGGGTTCTTGATGTGAGGCATTGTATAGATGTCATGCATGTAGAGAAAAATGTGTGTGACAGTATCATCGGAACGCTCCTTAACATTCAAGGAAAAACAAAAGATGGTGTCAATGCTCGTTTGGACATGGTTGAAATGGGTATAAGAGAACAATTAGCTCCTCAACCTCATGGTAACCGAACATACTTGCCTCCGAGCATGTCACACACTTGTCTAAAAAAGAGAAAAGAAGTTTTTGTG